CACATAGGAATACCCAATAAACTTTGGTTGAAGGAATAAAAATAATGACTGACAGATATTAATAAAAAAAGGTCCTGTCTTAGTCTGCTCAGACTGCTCTAATAAAATACCACAGACAAAATACCAGACATCTATTTCTCACAATGGGCGGCAGGGATGTGTATAATCCAGGTGCTGACAGGTACACTGTCTTATGAGAGCCCTCTCCTGACTTGCAGACAGCTGTTGTTCTGTTGTGTCCTCGCATGGTGGAGACCTCTCTCTCTCTCTCTCTCTCTCTCTCTCTCTCTCTCTCTCTCCCTCTTCTTATAAAACCACCAATCCTGTTATATTAGGGCCCACCCCTTTTGACCTTATTTAATCTTAATTACCTTCTAAAGCCCTATCTCCTAATATAGTCACATTGAGATTAAAGCTTTGACATTTGAATGTAGAGGGACACACAATTCAATCCATAGCAGTAAGCAAGAAATAAACATCGACAGTGTGCTTTTTTTATACATTTGGGAATCTGTTTATAACCCAGTTATCCTACCCTGATTAACATAAGGGGATCTGACAAAGGAGAATAGTGCTGAGAGAGACAGACACCAGGCCTCTCCAGAGGGCAACCAACCTCTCCCACCGGGAACAGAAGACAGCTGCTGTCTTCAAGTGGTTGGGAAAAATTATTGGTAGGTTCAGAGAGCTACTGGAACATGTAGAAAAGAATTAGGGGTAGACACATGGGAAGCTAAGCGAAGGCAGTTTCAATTTCAGGAAAAACAAAATGTTATATGAAGAGGAAATATTCCTAACATGCAACTTGGGTTGAACAGTGAGTATTCACTGGTCATAGTCATATAAGTGACTGCTGACTTAGCCAAAAGTTAAAACAAGGCTATGAAGAGGACCAAAGTTTTTCCACCCCAAAATATGCCATTTGCTATATTGATTTCAAGCTGGTTATTAAGAAACAAAAGATTTAGAAGGATAGTTGACCCTTCCTCCTAACCTGACTAGAAGAATTCAGATAGAAAAACCTGCTTAAAGGAAGGGAGCATCACTCAGCATCACAGTATAACCTAAATGTGGCAGACAGGGTGAAGTCTATCTAATCTGGGTTCCCTCTGTGTTCCATGGCTTCTGGGTGGCCCAGGTAATAATTTGTTTACCACCTGTTTGCTCCTTCTCATCTACCTGTAAATTGTCTTCTTTCTCTTTAAAATCCCTGACCTGTGCCCCCTCTCCTTGTCCAGGATGGCTTATAAGCATCAACTGTCCAATGCCTCCTTGGGTCTCATATTCTTACTAGTGACCCAGTGCATGAAATTTGTGCACATTAAAAGGGAATTAATTAGAGGAAACATTTTAATGTTGCTATTTGCCCTTTCTCTATAATAGAAGTGTCAGAGATGAAAGAAAATTAGTAAAATGTATATGAAAATCTTACTCCTGTCAGAGTCTGGGACACACCACGGGGACCAGAGTCAAGTCCCTGCCAACCCACATGCACCTCAAAATCACACGAGACCCAGACCCGGCCGGCCCCACCCTTGTCAAGCCCTGCCAGGTGGGGGTGTGGCCTCAGGTCACCTGGCCCAGCGCTGGGGTGGGGGGCGGGGGGCACGGCCTGAGGTCCCCAGGCCCAGGCTGGGGGGTGCACTTTGAGGTCCCCTGGCCCGAGCCAGGGGGTGTGGCCTGAGGTCCCCTGTCAAGCCCCACCAGGCGGGGTGCGCAGCCTCAGGTCCCTGCTGATTGCTTGTTAAGACTCGTTATGGGAACTCGGCCTCTTCTGTGGGCGCAGCCATCTTGACCATTACTGTGTGACAGTCAATTTGCATATTCCCTCTTTATTAGATACGATGGAACCCCTGAATATACATCTATAATACATTTGGGGCATTT